ATTGCTGCATCATAAGGCAGTTCTATTTTTAATTTTTTGAGCAATCCCCATATTGTTCTCCAAAGTGGCTACACCAATTTACATTCCAACCAGCAGTGCATAAGGGTTCCCTTTTCTCCACATCCTCACCCACACTTATTGTCGGTTGATTTATGATGATAGCCATTCTGACAGGTGTGAGGTGATAGATACCTCATTGTGGTTTTAATTTATAGTTCCCTGATGATTAGTGAAGTTGAGCATTTTTTCATTGGCCACTTATATGTCATCTTTGGAGAAGTGTCTATTCAGGTTCTCTACCTGTTTTGTAATCAAATTGATTTTTTGGTGTCAAGTTGTATCAGTTTGCTATATATTTTTGTTATTAACCCTTTATCAGATGTATCATTCATTGGCCAATTGATCTCCCATTCAGTAATTTGTCTTTTCATTTTGTTAATGGTTTCCTTTGCTGTGCAGAAACTTTTTAGTTTGATGTAGTTTCATTTGTTTTTTCCTTTTGTTTCCCTTTGCCTCTTATTTCTGAGGAAATTTTATTGAGAAATTACGTTTAATGGTTTCATGTAAAGATACTTTGTTCACATTCACCTGAAATCTATTGTGACCTTATTTTGGTCCAGGCCTGCTAGTGGGTCTAATTAGAGCAGCTTTTCCCAGTATTAACAGATATAATAATGGGTGCTCCTTTATCATATTTCATAGTCAAATAAATGGGGAAATAATATTAAATTTAATCAGGATTTTTTCTTTCTTTCTTTCTTTTTTTTTAACTGTAGATGCTTTGACATGCTAATATGCCCTCTGGCTCTCCCAGAGGCAAGTGTAATATGAAGTGTTTTCCAAATGTATTTGATCATGGAATCCCTCATTTAGGAACATTTCAGGGTACAGGTACAGCCCAGAACACGTTAGCAGACCCACCCTCGGCATTGGCAGGTGCGCTAACAACCAGAGTCTGACTCACTGCAGGTGGTTCAGCGAACAGAGTGATCCCTGAAGGCTGGAGGGAATGGGGAGTGAGGGGAGACTTCTCGGAGGAGGCATCAGAGCTGGGCCGAGAAGGGTGAGGTGAATTTCAGCAGGCAGCACTGGTAAGCGGGGGCTTTTCAGGTGGGGATATGAGCAAGGACACAGATGGGAGGGGACACACCTTGTTCATGGAGTGGCAAATATCTCTTGCTATATTTGCAAGGGGGTTTTCTTAGGTTCTGGTAAACATCCCCCTGCTGGCCACAGACCACAGTTGGCCCCAGTCTACTCAGGAGAACGTCGGGCAGGAAGGACGCAGGACAGGGCAGCACCAGGCTTTCTGCTTTATAGTTGTAGTCATGGCAACAGTCCATGCAGGTTGTTTATACAGCTGTCCAGTGTTTTCTTTCCTCTTCTCCCCAAATGACAGCTTCTGTGCAAAGGAAGGAGTCTTACTGGGCAGGTGAAGGGGTGCCCCCAGGCTTGGAAGCTCTATGCCCCATTGGAGCCAACAGCTCTCATTACAACCCCGTAGGCGTTGCTTCCAGTGTCCCCACTGGGGACATGCGCAGTTACAAGAGTCGCCACACTCAAGTCAGAAATGTGGTTTCTCTCCAGGTATTTGGAGTTTCTCCCCATCCAGATGTAACTTACCAGTCAAAGATCATTTTAAACATGAGCAATTTTGCCTGTGTAATGTAGTTGACATAAAGCTCTTATTAGATGCCCAAGGGAGCAGGGCTTGAATGCTAACCAAGGTTAAATTCTTTCTCAGAAGGTGTGCCCTTTATGCTCAGCTCTTAACTATTAAGCCTGAAAAGATGACTGGGCAAATTGTGTGGGATCTTGAATTTCACACTGAGAAGCTTGGATTTAAGAAACGTTTAGTTTTTCCCCTATTTCTTACGCTAAGCAGGGAACATGAAAAGACACTTCATATTTTGGTGTGAAGCTAGGTACATAGGTAAATATTGCAACATATGAATAGATTTCAGTGTTTGTGTCTTAGAACCCTTGAGAAGTTTAAATGTGGGAACACATGGGTAACCATCTTCAATGTGACATTAATCTTCTGAAACAGAGAGGACTGCGCTTTTTCAGTAGTTTCCCTTCACTGGTGATTCCCTAAAACACCCACATGTTTGTGTGATAGACTTCTAATATCACAAGGCTGGTTTAGCTTATGCAAGAAACAAGTATCTGATGCTTAAAATGGTGACCCTTTGTTTTGTGCACAGTGAAGCAGCGTGGGTTCTAAAATCTTAGTGAAAGAAGAGACATAGTTTTCCAAACCGTCTTTCCACAAAAGAAAGCCAGCATCTGAGGCCTTGCTGTTGGTTCTTTCAGGTACTGGCAGCTCCGAAAGCAGAAGGCAGCAGGTGGAGAATTTTTTTCCCTGTATTGAAGGTATTACCCTCCGGTATTATGAAAAGTCGTGGCAGTTTGCGTGCGACTCGCTAAAGCAGTAACGAATGACTCAGTGTCCTTTTCAGGCCCCGACGGACTCCGGCCGCCCAGGACCCCATGCCTGCCCAGGAGGCTGCGACTTGTTGAAACCTGCCTGGTGCCTCCTGGGGAGGAATCGAGGCTGCCCCATTTGCATGCACTCAGGCTCCTGCACTACCTACCTCACCGCTTCCCTTCCAGGCCTGACTTCCGATCTGCTTCCCACGGGGACAAGGAGCCAACGTGCCCGTGGCAGCGGGAGAGCTGATTCCTTTCGCCAGGTGACATGTTCAAACTAGAAATGTAGCTTAAAGACTCAGGCACTCTCCCCGCCAAATCCTCCCCACCCCACTCCCTCCACATACCACACAAACTCAAATGCATCCAAAACAGGACTCTAAGGGCCCCAGAGGGCGCGGTGTTACGGTTGGGCTCCTGCTTCCTCACAGAGAGATCCGGAGATGCGTCCTCTGCATCGCCATATTCCAGCACAGAACACAAACCTCCACACCAGTTGTCTGTGCATTTAAGCCGATCCCACCAAGGTCCCCTTACAAGAAGTTCTTTTTACAACAAGAACTCACAGCATGCAGTCAGGGTTAAGATGCTCTGTGGGTGCGTGTTTGACAGGAGACACAGACCATCAGGAATCCAAGAAAATAAATTTATTAAACTTTGAAGGAAAAAAAAATCCACAGACATAAAGAAAGTTAAATATATAAACTGCAGGACACAACTAGTCGTACTAGTGAATAATGGCTTGTGTGGCCAGCAAAGTACCAAAATGACATTCTGAGACTGATTGAGGTATTTAGCTATTTTTGGCGATAGAAATGTTGTCAGCCTATTGTGAAATAGTAAGATAGTTTCCCCAAACACACAGTTTTAAGTTGAATTAGGTTCTACATCGATGAAATTTTATATGAAACTAAATTATGTAGCTCTGAGAGAAAACCATAGCAGCAAAGTAGCGGAAAGTCTATTAAACATCTATTATTACAAAGGAACATGTTGCACTTTAAATACCCAATTCAAGCTTTTCACTGTCCTTGCGAGAAAGAGGGAATTTAAAATTATCAACCATCAGGCTTATTTCCTAAAAAGGCCTATGCTAAATGGCAAATACTATTTAACTTAAAGCTAACTTTGAAGTTTTATTCACCTTTAAAAACATACTTAAAATGAGAAGTATTCTTCACTGAGATAAGATTCTTCTCCTTTTGATAAACTTCTTGGGGAGCTACCCCGCTGCTCCTAAGAATGCTGTTTAGGTTACAAAGGTGTTGAACGACAACTCATAAATGACTCAGGCCTCTTGGTTTTATTCTGACTACCTGCTTTGAGGCCAATCCACTCAGAGGGGAAATAAAAAACGGTGAAACTTCTTTTACTTCTTTAAATAAATCCTATACAAGGTTGGGTGAGGAAGATAGTTTCTGCTGTTGGTTTGAGTAAACTTTGAGTTATCTGTGGGGATTTAAAATCTTGTCTCTTCTGTGTCTCATTACCATAAATGAGGAGTATGTGTCTGGCTATATGCTGTGAAACAAAAACCTATTTCTTGCACTTTTTATCCCATCATCTGGTTAGCTTCATTACGACCTGCTTCGACTTACAAAATTCTTCCTGTACCTTATTCCCTTCTTGGGTGACTATAAAAAAAACCAGGCTGTGTTCGAGGAGGTCCTGGGCTTTCCTCTCTTGGTCTGCACGCACTGAACGCCACAGTTCGCACACAGCATCCTCGTCAGTGTGAACTGGCTGCAACTTCTACTTCTCTTAGTACATGGTGCTCTGACATGAACCGAAATTTGGGGAAGAGAGGGTTGTTTGTTTGTTTTCTGGTTCATGAAAAGTTGGCCTGTGCAAACATTTTAAAAGATGTCTAAATGAACAAAACTGATTTAAAAAATTCAGTTAAGACGAGCATGTTCCAATCATTTGGGTGACCACAATCATTTTAGAAGTGTTTAAGGAGTTTGGGAGGTATAAAAAGGGCTTTGTAAAAAACTAACTTGTCTATTTGTTCTCTTGAGGCGCGCTGACCAAAGCCTTCCATCAGCTTCAGGCCGCTGCTGATACATTCCTCAGACGGGTCTGCGTGCCCTTTAGCAGTGGGTTGTGTGATATAAAATAGCCATGCTTGAAGTGTAAATATTAAAAATATCTTCATCAATTTTATGCCAAAATAAAATTTACATATCCAAACTATTTTTTGTCTTCGTACTTATATTCTTAGCTCCCAATCATGTAAAAAAAAAAAAAAAATTAGCCTGTGCTATATTGTGCATTTGATTTTCCCGAATTGCAAAAGCCACCTGATTGTTCGCTTTTTCAAAAAGCATGATTTACTCTACATTAAAAACACAGCTGTTCAATGCATAGCATCACAAAATTAACACCCACAATAACAAGACAATCACTGCCACTAAACAGTCTTTGAGACAATTCTTTAAAATATTTACAATTCACAACAGGAATATCTATCTGATTAAGTGTTCTTATTTTTTTTTAATATCGTGTTTCAACATTTCAGGAAAAGGCATTTAGAATCCACACTCCCCCACCCCAACCCCACCCCCACAGCCCAAAAAACGTTTAAACATTGTTTTGGTTTAAGCATTCAGGCCCCAGCCCACTCTTTGCCATTAAATATTTAGCTCACGGGAAATCAAAGAAAGGCTACGGCATGAGTTTGTTCAGTTGGTCTGTGCTCACATAGCCACACGAAGAGAGGAACTCCTTGTCGGGCAAGGGCAGGGCGGTGGCGTTGAGCAGGAGGCCCTGCGGAGACTGAACTATGTGAATGGAGGTATAGTCTGGGACGGGCGCCTCCGAGCCCGGGGCCTGCTCCGCCGACCCAGACCTGCCCGCAGTAGTGGTAAGGCTTTCTGTGGTGATGTAAATGTCTTCCTGGCTAAAGCTGGGCTCTGCGCGTGCATCGGCCTCCACGGGTGGGGCCGCCGCGATGCACTTCTTGGCGTCTGCCTCGCAGAAGTAGGCGTTGTCCATGATGAAGTTTGCTTGGCAGAAGGAGACCACTTCCGGGTGCGTGTCACACTGGGATATCCCTGCCTTATTCTTTTGGCCCGGGGACAGGACCACACTCCCTGCTGGTGTGATGTCGCTAACCTGGGCGTAAAAGTCAATGTTGGCCAGTGAGCTCGGGTTGCTGAGCTGAGTATGGGCAGCTGGATGAGGCGACTCAGCCTCACCGATAAGAAGCGGTCTTGGTTTGCTTTCCTGGGCTAGGATAACCCTGGGCTCCTGAGTAGCAGGGAGAGCATCGCTGAAAGGTGGGTTGTTTTGATTCTTCACGTCAAGGCACAAGAGATCTGCTTCCCCTTTTAACCTCTGTGGCTGAGCAACCTCTGAGGTACCATCGCCCATGTCACCGGCCTCAAAATCAGCCTCCAGAATGTCTGGGTCATAACAGCTGGTTCGTCCGGAGTCGTCGTCCTTCGCCCCAAGGATATGAAGTGATTTCTGATGGTCATCGCTCAGCAGTCTGTCTGTGTCTGACCCCTCAGTCTTTTCATCGGGATCATCAATATCCAGCTCAATGAATTCAACCCAAGAGTCATCATTGTAGAATTCAGGTTTATAGCTGTCATGAACAGCTAAGATTGTGTTCACCTCTTCTAATTTTCCTTCCTAGAAAACAGGAAGAAAAATGAAGATCTAGGAAAAGAAACTCATAATGGTTAAGTGATTTAACAAATAACATTAAGAGACTAATTATGGTTGCAATAAAGACAGCAGTAGTAAAACAAAAAATACATAATAGTGAATAACTTTTAAATATATGACATCACTTAAGAGATGTAATATTTAAAATTTTTTTCCATATAATAAAAAATATAATAGTAAAGAACTTTTAAATATATAAGACATCAGTTTAAGAGATGTAATTTTTCTCCAGAAGGGGTACAAAATATGGAATGTATTACATATAGCTTGCAAAAGCTCTCAACACAAGACAATGTTCTTCAGATATCATTTAGTGTTATCTGTAACTTAAGTAAGTTAATTACCTTGAAGAGATCTGGATCAATTCCTTTAATCTTTGGAACAGGAACTGGAGGCAGAATCAGCATCTTAATCCTTGAAGACAATTAAAATTTTGATTTGATATATCTTAAAAGTTGCACATTCTCTTATTTCAAAAGACAGAAATAAAATATTGGCAGTACAATGACTTATTTCAAATTTTTGGTATTTTGTAAGTGGAATATGAGAAAAAGAAGGAAAATATTGAGCAGTAAATGAAAAGGAAAGAACTACGGAAGAGAAAAAGAGCAAAACAACAAAAAAAGCCCTTATCTGAAGTACATTTAAACAAAATGTGGCATTCCTTTTATCTTTTTTTCCCTTCATGTTTTTGTATTGACAGCCAACATTAGTATCTGGGAGTGAGAAATTTCATTCCACCTAAAGCCAATTTCCATTTCAGCTATAAGAAAGGTAATTTTGATGTGTACCTCACCAGTACTTTGCAGAAAAAAGGAAGGGAGGGAGGGAGGGAGGGAGGGAGGGAGGGAGGGAGGGAGGGAGGGAGGAACACCAGTCCACAAGGAGCCAAATTAGGGTGGACTGGGTAAATTTGCACCTCAGCTCCCATTAATTGTAAAATTATGCAAGGTGACCTCACTAACCACAGTGCCACTGTGTGGTTCACTTCAGCTGGGAAGACTTCATTTGACCTATTTCTAATCAATCAGTAAGAATTTATATACACAATTCAATTATGTACTTATGTTTTCTATGTGAAAATTCCCTACTTTGTAAACACTTTGTAGGTAAATTTTTACTTTAAAATCAAAACAGCATCAAATAACAAAACATAGATCTGCAGGCTGAATCTGGCTCTCCGTCTGCCCTTCTGTTTTATGCGGGTTCCGTTCTTTCTTTCCTGATTCATAACAGCTCTAAGGCTGGGCACAGGTCATACGGTGGGAACAACAGGGAACAGAATGAAGATAATCTTGGCATGAAACTGTGTTTGTGACTTTGCTGTCACTTTATTTAAATTCAAGTTACAAGTTTTGCTAGAGTTGACTCAACTCTCTGGATTAAAAAAAGAAAAAAAGAAGAGCTTGGATTGTGGACTCACAGAACTTCAGGCAAAGGCAGGGGCCTGAAGCCTTTCTCGACCCTGAGGCTCTGGGGAGGCTGGCGCGGCTGCGCCTTCTAATTACCATTTTAATAGTTAGAGCCACAGGTTCCTCCCCTCCCTGCTGACAGAGGCGGTTCTCCCATTTCCTACTTTCATTAAAACGTGAGCATTTAGACAATGACAAGTGCTTTTTATGGGCAAATGAAAGAAAGAAATTAATTCTTTTCTACAAAGAACTTACTCTAGCACAGGAAGTTTGGAAGTACAAAAAAGATTTCTAAAAATTTTACAATTTGGTGATTTTTGACCAAGCTTTATAGTGGAGACCTTCATTATTCATAGAAAACACTCTTTAGGCAGAGGTTAATATATTTTGTTTGGAATCCTATTTTTGAGAGTAATATTTTTTCTTTGAAATATTATTGGCTAATATAGCTCAACTACATAATAAATTTACTTAGGCTTCACAATGATTCAAAATCAACAGCTAATGTTAAGAGTGAATTCCTTTATATATACATTGTGGATTTATCAGCTGCAGTTACATACAAATTAGCTCTTCAACTGAACCGACCCATGAATTCAAAATAATCAACAAAATAATTTGGCTCCTTTGTTGCTGGTTGGTGTTACTTAAAAATATAAATTGCCTGAAGTTCTAAAAATTTATTTTTTTTAACTCACTTTCCCCAAACAAGTAACAGCTGTGTTTGTAGAACAGAAATGTTGCTAAAAAGTTAGGGACAAAATGAAATGTTGCAGAGTGAATTTTGCTTTCCCATTGAGTGACGTAAGAAACTGGAGATGATACCCTACTGATAAAAGCCCCGCCTGCCTTCACCCGGGGACTTCGAGCCTTGACACGCTGGAACTCCGGCTGTGTGAGAATTCTTCTGTCTGCTACAAGTCTGTTTTGACTGACAAATGCTATACAACTTCAAAAAACAAATTACAGAGCTTTTACCGTGTATTCACAGAGACCCTATTTTGACTTGTGAGGTCTCTTGGCGTCAGCTGGAGAACCTGTCTTCTGTTCTGGGCAGGGTGACCAACCCTCCGGAACTCAGGGATGTCCCAGGACACAGGACTTTTAGTGCTAAACCCAGGAGAGTCCCAGGCAAACCGGATGTGTTGGGGACCCTAGTTCTAGGTGAAGGGGCAAGATTAACTCATGGGACTTTAAAAATATTCTAAATATAAGAAAACTGGCAACCAGTACCAATAATTTACCTATATTTTGTATTAAAATTTCTTGTAGTCTGTACTGAGCTTTTTTTTTTCTTCTTTTTTTTTCCAGGAAGAAAGAGAGAACTATAGATCTTACAACTCACGGGAAATTTAATGGTCACATAATGGAACATAATACCCATGAGAACGTGGAGGCCCAGATTGGTTAAGGGACTCAAACAAGATTGAATGCAGTGGCAGAATAATACTAGGAATCCTGGTTTTTAACTCCAAAACAATGTAGAAAAGAATCTCTTCAAACTTAGAATTTTAGCTGTGTTGACAAAAGCAGTTGAAATAGCAAATCGTAAATATCCAAATAATTTAACGAAACTTGAAATTACTTGAAATTGCCATCATAGGAAATCTGAAAGCTTTATTAGATTGATTTATCTAGGTGGCTTTAGTTTGCCACTTCCATTTGCTTGAACACAGGACATCGTCGAACAGCCAAAGGCGCGGTGCTACCAAGGGGGTCCCGGATAAATGTGTCACTTGGTCAGGACTTTGAAGAGGCGAGGAGGGAGCTCTGAGCAAAGAGCTTTGCTAAGGAGGTGCACGGCACAAGCTGTGCAGTCAGCCCCCAGACTTCCAATGTCGCACGCAACTCCTCAGCCAGAACGAAAACCTGTGAATTCTCTTTGACAGACACAACAAGGTGGTAAATGTATAACTGGAGATTAACGTTTTCCTGGGTCAATTAAAATTTTCACTTATGATTCGCAGAAGAAAACACCAATTAACAAATAGAAATACACATGGGAATCTAAGCAACTGGTAAAAACATTAAGGTAGATTATTTCACACGTACCTTTGCTGTTTAGAAAATATGAATAAAAGCAATATCACTGTTAGCCCAAATAATCCAAAGATGATAAGAAAGAACCACGGGAACTGGAAATCTGAAACACACGACAGTATCTCACTCACAGGGTTATGGAGGGTTGATGTTCACATTTAATATCGCCTCATTTGTATTCATCTAGTGAAGTCAGTGATTTCACTTGATAACCACTGACACAGAAGGCAATGACTGAGAAGCACTTTCTGTGCCAAGAACACTTTTTCAAATCCTTTCACATTAAAAAAATCAGAATAAAGGTTAAGCACAATCCAAGTTTAAAGGTTAAGTACAATCCACGTTTATAAGAAAAAAAAAAATCTGCTCTAAGCATCCCATGTGATCGGGGTACGGAGGGGTGGGTCATAAAAATCCCGCTGGTTAACACACGACTGTACCTAAACGATGTCTCCTTGGTTCCGTTTTTAAAAAGGTCTGGTGGTATTTTTAATCCTCCAGACTGAAGAGCTATCAGAAAAACTCTGGCAGCAGTGTTTACTTCTGAATCATGACTGGAAATTTTTACACACGCAGGGCAATTATTTCACAGCTTCAAAAACCTCCTTGGACTGAAGGTGGCTGTGAGGGCTTCCTCCTTCAGAGTGTAGTCAACTTTGCAGCAAACTTGGGGGAATCTGTTTGCAAAACTTCTATTCCTTAAAAACAAGTGCCTTGAACCTGGTTCCCAGTATTCTTACTACACTGGCAGAGATTAACTGTGTTTTAATTAAAAAGGACAGGTGAAATTTACCTTAATGTTGCTTTATTAAAAGTAGGCTTTTATACTGTAATATTCTTTTCTTATTTTAATTTTCTTGTTCAGTTATTAAAATCCCCAAGGGAGAAGTTGGGGAGAGAACATTTGTATCTTGTGGCATTTATAGTTTTGTATCAATGGCATATTCAGGAACATAATAGAAAGCAGGCACTTCATTTCCACATTCTTTTAACATGGAAGGAAAAGCCAGTTTAAAAAAACAAAACAAAACGACTATGTTAAGTGAATTACATGCCATCACAGTAAGAGTAAAGGGTGTGTGGCAAGCACATTTTTAAAACCAGAATGTCATTACATCAAATTGTTTGAAACAACAAGCCTGTTAAGTAGGGCTTAGAAAAAAAAACAGAGTTACAGACATTTTGACTCAGGTGTTGTTTAGTACCACGAATTCTACCTGTACTATAAATGCAGAAACACAAGTTGCATTTCTCTGTAGCTTGCGACTGTTTGAGTGACAAACCTTAGCTCCTCACGTGGCCTTGCAAACCTTCTGTCTTTAATGGAGATGAGCAATAGCCAATTCTCATTTGGGAGTGATAATATTTTATACCCTTAATATTAATGGTTAAGCAGCCCTCTTTATTTCTGCATTCGAACACTTTAATTTTTTTGTTATGAATTCATAGGTTTCATTTCTTTCAACTTTAATTATCTTTGCATTTCTTTTATATAGGATCTTCGAATGTTCCATGCCATCCTTGAGCAGAACTGGCACACTACTCGTTGAGCCTTCTCCACGTGAAAGCCATATCGTCACTTGCCTCTGGCTACCTGTGCGGACTCAATATTCAGCTTTCTCTTAGGTGCCACAGAGCACATCCATCCCTATAGAAACGGTTTCTTCATTGTGTATTTGAAAAACATTTTATTCTGATTGTAAATGCCAACAAGTCATTGTAGACCATTTTAGAACCATAGAAACATATAAAGAAAGAATCACCTGAGATGCTGATATCTAGAGATAACCCCTTTCTGACTTGCACCTGACTCCAGGGCTCTTCCTGAATTAAATGATTCAAACACTAAGTCATCCTCCTGCTGTTTAACCGATACAGGCTGTTATAGAGAGCAGGCTCGGGGTCTCTCGCCGGGACATTAGATTCTAATGCATCCCAACCGACTGTGCTCACAGTGCAGGGAAAGTACCACTGTATATTGACAAAAGCCATGTGGGCTGCCTGGTGGTCTCTTATTCGTACCTTCATCACAGGCCGGTGGGCTCGTCTGAGGCAGTGTTACATAGAGCACGTCGCTGAACTCCCCGTACTTGTCAGAGTTCCGCTGTCTGGACCGCACGCGCACTTCGTACTCCTTATCCAGGCGCAGCGAGTACATGGGGACTGATGTTGACAACACAGGGTCCATCTTTTAAGACAGAACAGGTCACTCATTGGTTAAAGGCTCAACTGTGGCTCAATGCCACAAGCTTTGAAAGGTGTGTCTGCATCTGCTCGCAAGAGGAATCCTGCAAAGTGGGTAAGATTTGCACCGGAGGGGGCTTTTTCAAGAAAGGTCAAGGCGAGTATGTTAAATGGACAATAGGCCACAAACTTATTTTCGTATAAACCAGAGAGCTGATAGACTTTTATAGAAATGCAGTTATATCTTTAAACTAGGCTGTCACATTTTCTAAGATCAGAACATAATAAATTATTATGGAAAATGACAGAACTATAAAGAAGTATTGCCTACCCTTTGGGATATTGCAATTTTGTATGATGGCGCAAGAACAGAAAAAACAAACGTATTTCACATCAGAACAAATTCTCGTCATCCTCTGGAAATTCTGGGTGGCCATTCATATGACCAGAGACTTGGAAGGGGACCTAGGAAAATTCATAGTTGTCTTAACTGAACTTTCAGATAACTCTTTTAGAAGCAACTACATACATAATCTGCCTGTCCTGCTCTGTTCTAGAATACCCCAAGACACCTCAAAATTGTTTGCTATTCAAAATCTGCAAAAAAAAAAAAAAAAAAAAAAAGTTGCAGGAGTCCTTGGTAATTAGCATCACGATCCCACAACCCTTACGGCCAGCATTCTCTTTTACCTTCTGGGGGAAGGGCAGGGGAGGCTATGACACTTTTAAAATGTTGCTATCAAAGAAGGAAATCCAGTTAATGAGAGAGGTTTTCCTTTAAGGCAATATTCAAATGGAGTGTGTGCTTTTCATATGTTCTCTGGTAGAACACCTTGTTCCTGTTTATAAAAGACTAGGAACTCTCACTTTTTCCACAGCATCTACCCTTCACATAAATAAGATCTCATAATTTGTTTTGCTAAGTCAGAAGCTGGACCTTCAGCTTCTAAAACAAAATTTCCTCTCACCCCAGTTATTTTCTACTCAAAAAGTACCTCTTTTTTCCTCCATGTGCACATGGGATGGGAATTTTGTATTGTTCAAAGGAGCTTCTTACTATATGGAATATCTGCATGCCTAAAATGCTTTTTTAAAGGTAGGATTCTGAATATTAAGGTTATTATTTTTCTTAAAATATTTTAAAAGCCCATTTTTCATTCTTAAAGCCCTAATTTCTCTGTTACTGTCACCGACGTCATCTCTCTACAGATTTTACTAATAACAAAACCAGAAAGGGGCTCTCAGGGATTCACCCCTGGCCAGGCCCCACCCTCTGGGCCCTCCACACTCTGACGCTGAGCTCGGCCCCCGCCCCGTGGGAGTTTGCTGCGCTTCTAAGGAGTCTCTCCTGGCTCTTGCCCCCACTCCATCCTGCCGGCTAATGCACATCCTGTGGGACTGCCTGGGCTCCTTGCTCAGGTTTCCGCATGACAGCGCAGAGTCCTTGGGCGTGAACAGTGCCTTCATCATCTTCTTCAGGTGTAAGGTGGGTGAGCAAGTGGCTCATTGTATGCTACCCATTAGGTCCTGAAAAAACTATGAATTCTCAAATCTGTTTAGCAGGTAAGCAGTGTAAGCAACTACATGGTCATGTGTGTCACTTTTCTATTAAAATGTATTTAATTAATAAAAGACAGAACAATACCAAATTCAACGTTGCCAAAGGGTAACACGAATCCAATCTCAGCAACAAACACCAGCTCTTTTCCCCTTCTACTTACAAAGTCATCTCTTCTTTTTATGCTTACAGCATTTTTACTCATAACCAATTAGACTGTGAGTTTCTTCTCGAGAGAGGTCTATTCTTATGAATCGGCCCTTGATATTCATGACAACTCTGAGACCCTTGCAAATGACCAAACTTGTAAATACTATAAATCTATAACTTCACTCATACAAAGTCAGTAAACATTAACTGGCCCCTTTGGACTGTCTAATGTGATTTTTTAGCATGGTATGATGAAGAGCGCAACAAAGCTATGTGGGCAGCAGCTCTGGATGGTCAGTGGAGTGAGCCCCGCATCCCCATGCACCTGGCTCAAGTGTAAGAGGCACACATGCCTGTGCCCCAGGTGAGACATTGCTACAGGCCGGGGTCTTTCAGGCTTGAAACTATGACCTGAAAGTGCATGAATTTGAACGTTCCGATTTACATCCTGCTTTCCTAGCTTGTCAAATGCTTTGGTCTCAGGATTCTTTGATACTGAAAAATGATTGCAAACCGTGAAGATTTGATTTATTTCGGTTATACCTATGGCTATTTACCATACTAGAAATTGAAACTGAGAATATTAAAAATGCTGATTTTAAAATTAAAATAAACAGATTTTACAGTGACATTGTTAATAAAATTATTGTATTTTCCAACACAATAACATTATAGTAAAAAGAGTAACATTATTTTACATTTTTGCAAATCTTTTTAATGTCTGGTTTAGTAGAATATGGCTGTATCTTTTTCACCTGCTTCTGAACTAAGTCTGTTAGGATGTGTTGTTTTGTTGATGTGCGTGAACAAAATCTGGTCTCACACAGATATGTATTGAAGAAAAGGAAGGATATTTTATAGCCTTTTCAGATAATTGTGGATATGCTTTAACACCAACACTCAAATTCAATAAATGGTATTCTCTTAAAGGTTAGTTGCGATGTGGAATCTGAAACTGCATCAATCAATCTTTTGGATACTGTTACTTTAAAATCCACCATTCTATCTCATACTTTGAATGAATCATTTCCCCATCAGCAATTTTGGTTATATCATGTATTGGTCATTTGGAAAACGAGTTATGCAGATTTTCTAAGTGTACACACAGTTTATTATGCCATATAAAAAGAATCACTTTTGTTAATAGTATCACCATTGATCCCAACAGGGGTGTCTTCAAAGACAGGGAAGCTATCACGTTCACGGTTACACAAGGAAGCTTTCCGAAATTCTAATTTTCCCTTGAAAGCTCACATTTTTTCATTGGCAACAAATACTGTCAATTGTTTTTCTTCAAATAATAAGCTTACTTAATTCTTTTTCAAGAAATGTTTGCCAAATATTTGCTAGCTCAAGTGTGAATAACTACCAGTTTATCAGTAGTTCTTTCAGGTAACACTAGCGCTCCCAACGGTGTTCTTTGCAGAATGCAACCAGTTCTGTGGGCAACCCAGCTGTCTCAGGGTTTTTTCTAAGGATGACCATTAGGACCCAACATTTAGGACCCACTAAGTGGCCAGAGGGCTTTATGAGGACTTGCCCCGTGTCACACTGAGTATTAAAAAGGTCGAGCTGTAATTTTTCACAGCTTCATCAAGGTCACTCTTATGTGAAACTGGCTCTGTTGCTCCCCTCCCCTGTGATGTCTGGAGGTGAAGAATTCAGTGACTGTAGGTACAGGTCCCTGTGACTGCCTCGGCTTGCGCTAAGGTGGCCTCAGTTTCCGCACCATTGCTTTGGAACAATCAGGGCAACTCTCAATACAGCAGAGAAAGGAAAAAGCACTTTAATATTATCATGGAAATAGTCTGGACCTTGCGGACCCCCTGACAGGGTCTCTGGGACCCTCAGGGGTCCCTGGTTCACACTTGGAGGATGGCCACCCTGGGCACCTGGCACAGTCCTTGGGCACCGTGGTTATTTCAATGCCTGCTGGCTGCAGAAACGTATGACTAGCTTGGATTTAGAATGTCTTGTCTGACTCAGCATCCAACCAGGCTTTTTTTACTACACGAAGTTATAGAATAGACGTCTAAATTAGAATGCTGCCGAAAGCAGAGCCTCAAAGCCCAGTATTTGACTGTTCAAAGCTGCTCCAAATTTAGCTCTTCCCCTAATGGCAACATCAGCCCCGTTCTCAGCCGCTCACTGAATGGACAGGGCCTGGTGTCTCAGAAGCTGGGAGTGGGGCCACGCCAGCTGCCGGGCCTGACGTGAAGCTGGCCAGAAGCCGCTGGGCTTGGCCAGGGCCACGGCTGTGGTCAGGCTGATTTAGAATTCGTTATATTGGGAGCAACGTGATAATCCTGTTTTTCTTCTTGTTGTGTGCCATGTGGAATTTATCTAAGTGCCCGGTTCCCATACACTTGGCAAGGAAGGGAGGAGGGCAGAGGTCATCCAGCACCATGCTCCTTGCAGATTTCAAAACCGCTCAGCTCAATTGTCCCCTGGTGCACTTAACAAAATATCCTTCCGAAACCTCTAAAGGGCAAATTCCCTCCTGGAGTCACTTAAGAACTTATTTTAATGAAGGTCTTGTGAGCAGTAGTAACTAAAATCATGGGAGAATATTTAGCCATAGCTCACTGTTGACCTTGATCATAACCCTTCCCATGTTTAGCCACATCCCCAAAGACAGCTCAGTGGCTCAAGTATACAGTTTTGTTCTAAAGTTAAACTGGACACCAAGGATGACTGGGGGAAGGTTTTCCTTTCCTTCCAGAAGCTTCTGTGTCAGCTCCATGGAAGCATCTGCTACTGGACAGAACTCCAAGGTGATCTTTTTTTGATCAGTTTTCCTCAAATGGGAAATTATGGAGCACACAGTGTGGACATATGGTGTTAGGTCAAAAGGAAGTCCATAAATGAGAGGGGGTGTTAGAATAAAAAGAAGACAATTCAGAAGACTTAAGGTGTGATTTGCAATGATGCCTTACCATTTTCCACTGGGTCTCATTTACTTCCTTGTATTGCAGCTCGTACTCCAGGACTATCCATCCTTTCTGAACATCTGCATTGGACGGTGGTTCCCATCTCACTTGGATATCCGCATGAATCCCCGTCAAACTGATGTTCAGTAAAGTCCAGTTGAGGCCAGTGGGTGGATCTGGTTGTACTGTGCATGTCAAAGGAGAATTAGCACGCAGAGACACACAACTGCATAGTAATGGGATGCTTTCTCCTGAAGAGACCGCCTTACTTCATACGTTTTTATTACTCATACCCTTAATTCTTCTAGTGTTCCTATTAGTTGGTTCTCATTTAATAAGAGAGTACTGTTTTTTTACTTAAGGATGACCTGTGTTTAACTCTAAAAAAATACCGTACAAAAATTGCTTTTCAAGCCTAAAATCTGATCTATAAATTTTCTTAAAGATCTGTCCTGTTTTACGTTTCTTTTAGTTGTGATAGAATAAATGCTTTGGGACTTGGCCAAGGAATTCATTTTAACTAAGGAACAGAGAGTCAGAAAGACCTATGGTAGTTAAACATGTGGCCGTTTTGGAACTAGGGCTAGAGAAATCTTTTTTCTTCCAGCCTGCTTATGTCTGGGGACAAGGACCTCATCTCGCTCTTTTCTGTGTTGCTACTAGTGCAATCCTTCCCGACACTCAGCAGATGCCCTTTGACTTCTTTTCTTCCCAGCCACATGTGATCACATCCTCAGAACTAAGAAAGGAGGCATCACACTGCTCTCTCAAAGGGTTTTCTTTCACTTAACTTCACATGAGCAACGGGCAACAGTTCTGCTTGTTTTCTCTTGATCTATCCACGTTCTCAGGTACAGTGGTCGACCATAAAGACCACAATTTCCCAAAGAGGTTGATGAAGAGAAATGTGGATTTCCAAAGCTAGGAACTCTATCTAAATTTATATTTTAGATAGTCCCCAATATATTATTGCTATTGGGATCTCAGTACTGAGGTTTTTGAAAATTATGTGCAGGTACAGATAAAATTTACTTTCTTTTCTATGATATGGAGAAGGTCACCTGGAGTGGGGCAAAGTCTGGGTCCCCAGGGCTGATCAGAGATAAGCCTACAAAAATACACTGTGAGGAGATTTTACTGGCTGTTAAAACCTGGGAGCCAACCAACGTAGCTCTTCTATTCAACCCAAGTTGAAACACTGTGAAGGTGCATGTTATTGGCCACTGTGTTCATGGTGAACACCACTTTTATTAAAAAAATAGAGAAAGTCCAAACTTGACTCATCAGGAATCGCTCCAATTTAATTTCCCTACTTTTGGGAAATTAAATTGGAGCGATTTGACAAGATGGAGGCATAGGTAAACATGCCTTGAATCCTTGCACAACTTCAGCAAAAATTATAGGAGACTACAAAACAAATATCACCCAGAAATGTCAGAAATTTGAGCTGTGTGGAAGTCCGACAACCAAGAATTTAAAGAAACCAAATTCATGAAGATGGGCAGGAGAAGCAGAGACGTGAAGATGTGGGGACATGAGGGAAGGTGTGGAGATGCAGAATGGACAGTCCCACATCCATGTGTGATGATAAAAATTGGGATGAACAGCTCGGGAGCAAGGGATCCCAGCCCCAGACCGGACCACCCAGCTCAGGGTTTCAGCACCAGGAAATTAAGTCCCCATAACTTCTGGCTGCAAAAATCAGTGGGGGTTGGGGCAGAGGAAGAAATGGTGGAATTCATAGGAGACTCCTCTTAAAGGGCCCACAAAGGACTTAGAACTTAACACAGACTCACTCCCTCTGGAATTCAGCACCCATATAGCGAGAAGGGCACTAGTGGCATATGGGGAAAAATTGAGGCGACTGGCATCATGGCAAGTGCTGGGAGGTGGCACCCCTGAGGTCAAAACTCCAAGGGCTAGGCAGTGGCACTGTTCCCTCTCTGAGCCCTCCTCCACACAGAGCCACAGAACAGTAACACAGGTTTTCCTGCCCTGGCGATTACCTAAGGCTCCTCTGCATACAACTTACAGGTGTGCTTTTCTATGATAAGCCAAGCTACTAAGACAGAGAGTTAAAACAGTACTTCCTAAAAAACAGAGACAAACACAAGGAGGCTGCCAAAATGAGGAAACAAAGAAATATGGCCCAATGAAAGAACAGAACAAAACTCCAGAAAAAAGAACTAAATGAAATGGAGATAAGCAACCTATCAGATGCAGAGTTCAAAACACTGGTTATCAGGATGCTCCAGGAACTCACTGGAGCATTTTTCAACAGTGTAAAAAAGACGCAGGCAGAAATTAAGATTACATTAAATGAAATAAAGAAAAATTTACAGGGAACCAACAGTCGAATGGATGAAGATGAGAATCAAATCAACAATTTGGAACATGAGGATGGAAAAAAGGATTCAATCAGAAGAGCAAGAAGAAAAAAGAATAAAAAAAAATGAGGCTAAACTAAGGAGGATCTGGGACATCTTCAAAGGTACCAATATCTGAATCACAGGGATACCAAAAGGAGAAGGGGAAGAGCCAAGAAATTGAAAACTTTTTTGAAAAAAATAATGAAAGAAAACTTCCCTTATTTGGTGAAGGAAACAGACATACAAGTCCAGGAAACACAGAGAGTCTCAAACAAGATGGACTCAAAGAGGATCACACCAAGACACAGCATAATTAAAATACCAAAGGTTAAAGATAAAGAGAGAGTCTTAAAAGCAGCAAGTGAAAAGCAGAGAGTTCCCATAAGACTGACAGCTGATTTCTCAAGAGAAACTTTGCAGACTAGAAGGAACTGGAAAGAAGCATTCAAAGTGATGAAAAGCAAGGACCTACAACCTAGATTACTCTATCCAGCAAAGCTATCATTTAGAATGGAGGGCAGATAAAGTGCATCCCAGACAAGGTAAAACTAGAAACTATGAACATTAAAATGGCAAGAAATGTGCAACTATCAACAACTGAATAAAAAAGAATGAACTAAGCAAGCAAGCAGAACAGAAACAGAATCATAGATATGGAGATCATTTGGAAGATTAGCAGCTGGGAGGGAGAAGGGGGAGAATGGGGGAATAAGGTACAGACATTAAGAAGCATAAATTGGCAGGTACAAAATACAGGGGGATGTTAAGAACAGTATAAGAAATGGAGTAGCCAAAAAACTTTTATGCATGACCCATAGACATGAACTAAGGGGGGGACTGCTGGAGGGAATGGGGATACTGGATGTAGGGGTGACAAAAGGGGAAAAACTGAAACAACTATGATAGCATAATCAGTAAAATATATTTAAAAAAGAAATTGGAGTGATTTGTAAAATGGCTAAGCTACAGATGCCACATATTGACAGGAACAGTCCTCTTTTCTGGGTTTGCTGCAATTATTTATTACTTGTTGCTTATTGCAATTATTCATTAATGCCTCTGACTCCCAACTTGACTGTATCTTAGGCATTCTGCAGCCACCACACCCGAACACAGTGCCTGAACAGTGCCTGGCTCATGGCAGGCCCTCAGTGACCCTCAGCCAAGTACAGGAGCGGGGCTGGCAGGTGGCAGAGACAGGGTCACAACATGGGTCTTGACTCGTATTCTTACTACTACCCATTGAGCCACTCAATAGCTACACCTACAGGTGTCAGGACATGGACTCCACAGTCTCTCTCAACTGGGCAGTTGGGTTCTCTTTCCTGCTTGTTCAGTTTTCTCAGTCTTCACCCTCAAAGTTAGGCTTTCAGAACTACTTGCTTTTGTCTGCAGCCTCTAGCCACTTTCTCTCTATGTCTTGTAGTCTGCTGAGGCCTGGAAAACCACATACAAGGACAGCCCATCCGAGAGTAGCTCCCAGGAATTCCTCTATGCAACAACTGAGCTTTTGTGGAGAGATGTGAGGCACCAATGCCAGCTACTCAGAGTCCTTTGATTTTTTTTCTATTTAGCTGTTTATACTATTATAGTTTAAACATGAACATTCCAATTATAGCTGTTTGTTTTCCTTTGTTTCATTTCCCCTGTGTCCACATGCTGGACAAGGAATAATCTGTTTGGACCTTTCACTTAGTCCATTGAGCTGATTATCTCCAATGGTTGTCTTGAGATCTTATAAATATGTCTTTAAGCTGGTTTTAACTGTTTTGTAAATGTAAAATCTGAGAGTTATTGTGCTTTGTGATAAAGGAAACCTAAGCATTTTTTAGAGCAACAGTAGAGATCAAAGACAAAATATTTCAGTAGATATGACTATAATAATCATATCAAATAATTAGAAGAGAAGGAATCTTAAGGGGGCTTTGAGCCTGCCCCTTGCAGCGGCACACTGGAACACAATCCAGTTTAAAGACCTCCTCAAGGAAGACTCCACCAGGCTCCCCCTCTTTTCTTCACAACATTTACTGCCAGATTCATTTTCATTAGAGCCAACTTAGTTCCCCCTTCCCTTTCCCTCTTGTTCAGCAGCTGAGCTCATGCCCTCTCACGTCGACTTCCATCCAGCTCTCAGGCACAACGACAAGGTCTTCCTACTTGGATACACCTGGGCCTTGCAGACTTCCTGCTTCGTTAACCTAAAGCCATGGCAAAGGAAACACAAACCTGTGATTTACCTATTTCCTCAACAGAGAAGCACTTCTGATCCACAGTACCACCATGGCTCATGAGCTTGATGCAGTAGGGCGTCCAGATGGAGGTATAGGATGCATTGAAGTAACAGCTGTTTTCTCCAGCAGAGACATAATCAGGGCATTCTTTCCATTCTTGAGTCCATTCTTGAGTCCTTTCTTGAGTGTTCCTGAAAGGGAAGGTAAAAAAGGCTGAATTGTTCTAAAGGCAGGCCATAGGTTAAGTCAAAGCAAGGTGCTTGACAGAGTCAATACACTGAAACACAAATATTTATGAGCAAATATTTCCGGGAAGTCTCACGTTGGTAGGTTCCGTCACTGTCTACAGACCGAGCGAGGGCCATCTGGTACTTCTGCCTGCAGGAAAACCACCTGTTCACTGATTGCATGTGATGGGACAGCTCCTAAATGAAGTGACTCATTGATAGGCATTCTATTATCCACATTCTACAAATAAGGCTTAGGGAGGTTGAATAAGGCCCTTCATTAAAACATGACAGCCAACCCGCAAACGATACAGATTCCCAGAGAGTGGTGAGTCTTAAGACCCAGGTGTTTCTCCAGTTCACGGTGGACCAAGGAACCAAGGCACACTGCTGGTGTTGTCCACGTTGGGTGGCAATAAGGTATGGGTGGCCTTGAGGTGGAAAATCGGTTACCACCCTATGCTGAACCACCATACCCTGTTTCTGCCTCTCCACATGTGTCCCGTGCTTGGGGGAGTTTTCCTCATGCCTTGAACTCTTCCTCATACTTCTGATTTTTTTCCCTTAATTATATGAAGAGCCAGGAGAACATTTCAAACATGCAGGACATCCCATTGATGTGTATGAAACATGAAATCCTAACCTTTTCTCCCCAACCCCTGAAAGAGACAAAAGACATGAATCCAGAAATTTAAGTAACTCGCCAAACCCAGAAAGAATTTTTCTGTTCTATTTTGTAACTAGTCATGGACATTTAATTATAGGATATAGAAAAAAAGGAGAAATAAACATGGACTAAAGTGAATCAACATGCTTGCTTACGAGTTCCTTTTTTGGTTTTTCTACAAAGAACAAGTCCCTCTTTTCCTAGATATTGGATCAGATAAAAGCAGACAACAAAATGAATCCTGGCAGGTAGATGGACATACGGAGAACACGGAGCACATGAGACAAGCTGCGTGATCACAGTGACATGCCGCCCTAGTTATTCATCTCTACCCTACTCTGCAGAACACATCATCTACCCAGGTGACTTCAAACAGCAGGATGTGTGCTGAGCAGAAAGGAGATGCCAGGACGGTCGCTGTGGAAAGAAGTCAGAGTTTTGGGAAAGGAAATTCCCTGGTCTGTTGCCATGGGGACCTGAACAAAAAATGCAGATCAATCAAGAGATCCATCGCTCAGACTCAAGTTCAAACCCTGCTCCCCACCTCCACCTCCCAGCAGGAACAGAGCAAGCACGTGACAGAATGTGCCACAGCTCTGCCAAGTGCGATCTGTCTCGCTGGCTGGCTGACTGAATCCAGCAGGCCATCTTTGGGACCCTGCTTTGTAGGCACCATACAAGCACTGTATCCAGCACTAGCATGCTGACAGGATTTGGTCCCTTCCTTCAGGCTAGAAAAAAAGATGCAGAAATTACAATCGCAGTACTGTTTTGGTCTCCTGTATTCAGTCCACTGACATTTAGTAAGCACCGATTATATATAAAACCCTGTGCTAGGTATTATGAGGGATTCACGTGTGTCTCAGGAATTACTCTGGCCCCAAGCATGTGACTAAAAAACTGTGTTATAAAGCAGGGCAGACAAACGCTTGACAGGTGGTGCTCATTCGGCTCCCAAAGAGCTCAGAAGGGGCCATGACTGTTCTGATTGTCCATGGAAGGCTTCAAGGTAGAGGTGGCATTTCTAGCAACCTTGAAGGGTCAGTGAAGTTTAATAGATGGCACTAGGGAAGGGAAAGGAGGAAACAGAATGGTCAAAGGCACTGAGGTGAAGAAGTATGGGTATGAATGTGGTGAGGGGAGCAGCAGGCAATGGGGCAACTGGGGAAGACGTTCTTAAATTAGAACTGCTACTGGGGGGGAGATAATTTCTTAGTCGCTTATCATTCCCTAGGCTGTCTGCTTGGGAAGAGGGTTTGTGAGTCAAGGAGATAGAAAGGCAGTAACTTGTGGCAGAGGAACCAGGCGACAGGAATGACACTATGCAGGCCCTGGGGCCAGAGGCTGGAGGGATGGACTGGGGTCAGGGAGGGGTGGGGCGGGAGTTCCCCCTGGGAACTGTGGGAAAGGCAGGGACTGGGGGAAGATACAGGCATCCTTCTTTCCCGCTGTTTCTCAGGAAGAAACTTGTGCAACATTGGGAGAGGCTTGGGACAGCTGCTCCTCAGCTGTTGGAAGAAACTGGAATTCAAGTGGCAGAAACACCGGAGTCCAAGACAGGGAACTGTTGCATAAATTCTGGCGGAGACTCTTAAAAGTTGCATACCCTTGGATGAGAGGAAGATTCCTCCCTGATGGGAGCAATGTGGGCAGAAGGGAGAAGCAAGGATAAAGTGTGTGCGTGTGTCTCTGTGCGTGTACATTTGCAGCAGGGAAACGATATTTAAATACTATTGAACTAGGATACGCTTTATTTTATCTTGAATTTCAAACTAAATAAGAGTGCACTGCAGAGGATGGTTTAACAGGCTAGCCTAGGGAATGAGGCTTTCCTGTAAGAGTGGAGGGCACAGCAAATATGTTCAGTGTGCTCGACAGCGTTACAGTTAGTATTAAAGTGTCCTAAGGAGGTAGGCCTGTTCTTAGCAGGTCTGGCTTTGTTCTAGAGAGGTCAGGCCTGTATGCCTCACAGTTTCTCAGCTTTGGCATGTCAGCACCCTGTCCCCCACGGGGACTCTACAAAAAACCCTGTTTGGATGATGCCAAACCCATTAGCTCCGAAGAACAAACGACAGAAAGCTCTCATCCGACACAGGGAGGACCTGGAAGAGCTAAGTTCAGAACACAACTCCCAACCCTTCTCTCATTATTTTTTTTTAATATTTTAAATAAATATTTAACATTTATTTTTAAACTATTAAATTTAGACCAAAAACCCAAATGGACTCACGAAATAGATACTCTGCCGCCTCCCTTCCTGGGCATGAGGGGCAACGCAGGTGCTGCTCCCCCAGTGAGGGCTCTGGGTTACGCCCAGTCTGCCTTGTGAAACAGGCGCAGGGGCTCGAAAGGTGAGCAATGGAAGTCAGAAGAAAGGGTAGAAGGAAGGCTTTCCGTCGATAGGTCACCAATTGGAAAAAAAAAATAGAAATAAGACATTGTTTATGTTTTAAGGGCAACTGTTTTCATTACATGCAAATCATGTGTTTTAGGCTTAAAATAGAACCTTTTCTTTAGAAAAAGAAAAGGAAGTACCAATGCCCTCTGTCCCTTCTAATTTCTCCCACAACCTGGGATGGAAAAGAAACTTCCTTTAAAAAGCCAGGATAACTTGTGGAGGGAGGTTAGTGGCGGGGGGTGGGAGGGGGACACAGCCTCAGGGACTGGGTCTTCACACAGCCACGTGCTTTGGGAACGAGGTGTTGGCAGGTGAGGAGCGGAGCGTGGAGCGGCTCTGACAGGCTCCTGGTCGCCTTCCGCTCTGCCTGTTATTTGTGTTCATGCCGCGTCCCCTCCAGGCGCAGAGGCTGAAAGCGGCCCAGTCTGCACCACGGGGCACGGAGACGGTCCGAATGGGCCGCCCTTCCTCAGCTCACGTGGCCAGGAGCGGTGCCAGCCAAGCAGGCGGCTGCCTCTGGGTCTGTCCTGTTGAGACAGCTGGATGTGCCGAGGTGCCCTTGGCCTCTCTTCACTGAGGCCAGGCCCCTCCACTGCTCTGGGTCTGCATGAAATCATGTCACTGCTTCATTTGTGTGTCGTGGGGGGTGTGGGTCGTGATTCTATGGTTTCAGGAGCTGAGTGGGAACTGAGTTCTAAGAGACGGTGACAAGTCACAAAGTGCATGGGCGTTGTCCTCTTTGTGCATGTGGACAAGGCCAAGTCTAACACATTTGTGCACTACTCAGGGCCTTCTGGGCCCGTTACGTCTAACCTCTCTGATTCTGCCCTTTCCAGATAAACTTGGTGGGGGCTTATGCTATTTTGGCCAAGATATTCAAATCAATTACATTTTTATAGAAAAAAATGTAAACTGCTGATCTTAGGCCATTTAGATTGGCACTAATCACAAGGTTGTACCTAGGGGGCTTGGCGAGGTGACAATTCTTTCTCCTGGCGCCCCAAACTCCACTAGGGCCCAAAACCAGTAACATTCTTTTGAATACGTCCAAGACTTCCTCCCACCTGGTCGCACTTCCAGCGGCATCTCTGTTGACACAGAGCCTGCACTGGGACCAGGGACGCCGCAAGTCCTGGGCTGTGCAGAGGAGGCCTGGGGATCACGGTAGGTGGCCTTGGTGTGCAGGGGTAAGGAACAGATGTGTATTTGTGAAGGCTTCACACCTGGGGATGTATCGTTTTGCTCTGGTTTAAATTTGGTCAACACTAGGGAGGTGAAAACCTATTTTCCTAAAGCGGGCCCAGCTCCACTAGCGCTCTGTTCATTTCGTCAGCTGTGCCTGGGCCGTCAACTACTCAGCTTTGACTGAGCTGGCTCTCGGGCGCCGAATCCTGAGAGGAAAACTGAACCCACTAAATCCCTTTCTCCATTTAACAATCAATCAACAGACACTCAAAAGTGCTACCAAACATTTTAGCTTCCTGTCCAAAATACAAACCAGCTTTGTCTGCTGATGCCTACTTCTCTTCAGTGTCAGCAAAAAACCCCCAAACACAAAAAGTGCATTTGGTACCACCCATCTCCTCTGTGTGCCCCCTTTGGGGGACATGCAAGAGAACACTCTCACGCCTGGAAGGCAGGTGAGGCCGGTCCTGGTGGCGGACTCCAAGTATGTCTTATTTGGAAATCAAGCACCCAGCTCTGCACTAAAGATGTTCTTATAGGATATCAAGAATCACACATAGTAAAGAATCGAAATCAGTTTTGTAGCCCTGAATTGGAATTTTACATCATTATTATTTTAAATGATTATTATACTACCAATAGTAAAAATAGGCAGCTGCCATGGATTGTGTGCTTGCTACATGCTGAGCACTATATTCAGCGTTCCCACATATTAGCTAATAAAATCCTCATTGGCCGCCACTAGGCAAGGTCTCTCAGCTCTGTTTTGTAAGGGACTGGCTGAGCTATGGATGGACTGGCTCATCTGCCCGGCTCTACTCATGCATGATGCTAGAGCCAGGCCGACACGTGGGTTTGTCGGCCCTGAGCGCGTGTCCTTGGCTGCTCGTGGCGTCTTCTGTCCCTTGCCTGCTCTTGTGCAGGGTGCTCAGAGTCACCTGGGGACTGCTCAACACCACCAGCCTACGAGGAAGGGTTCCCACTGATCCTGCATCTCGCTCAGGCCTCCCTTGGGGTTTGGGTGTAAAAGAGAAGATGATACAGTGTTTGAGCCCCAAATTAACATAAAAAAGTAAAGTCCTGGAAATAGCGTAAGGCGAGGGCAAAGAAATAAACGATGTGGGTGGTAATGATATTGAGAGCTCTTTGCTTCACTCTTCCCCTGTTATATTGAAGGACTGCTGGTAAAAATGGAGAGAAAAGCATTAGAGATCCCTTACTGAATTATTTCATTTAACAGGAACATAGTCTATTTCCTATGTAGAAGCCAAACTGAGTCTTTTAAAACATATATCTTTTCAAAAACCCCTATGACTTCCCACCAGAGATAAAGTTCAAAGCCCGCCCATGGCCTACTGGCTCGCTCGGCAGAGTCTGGCCTGGCTGACTCTCAACCCCTTCTCACAGTGCTCTCCCCTCTGCCCGCTGGAACCATCCGTGCAGCCTCTGCTTTCTGCGACCCGCCGAGCCGGCCTCAGGGCCCTTGCACTTGCACTTTCCCCCAGACACCCCGTGGCCTCTCGCAGATCACGCTGTCTCTGATGTACCACGTGAGAAGGGCCTCCTATGACCTCTTTGTGTAAAATAACACCCAAACCCCTTGTGCACACAGTCATGCACACTCACCCCATCCACACACACATTCATGCATATGCACACTCACATTCATGGGGCACCCAGGCTTCCACGCGCTCACCCTCAGACACTCTCAGCCACACGCATGTGTTCACACAGAGTGCCGCCACTCTCTGTGTCCACTTTCTGGCTTAACTTTTCTTAATAGACCACATTACTAGCTGACATTTTACTTTTTAATTTTTTTAATGCCTGTCCTCCCTCATTGAAGGTGAATCTCCACAAGACCGGGGACCTCATCTCTTTGTAATCACCAATGGATCATCTCAGTGCCTAAAATAGCACCCAACACATAGCAAGAGCTTCCTTGAATGAATGAGTACATTTAGGTCTTCAAGTCCTACCGCGGCACGGGACTCAGTACACCTCGGCCAGAAAGCCTATGGAGATAGAGGCCAGAGAGGCACGGAGGCCGCACCTTCTAATGTAGAACAGCTGCACGAATCCCGGGCCCTGGAAACCGTGACGGCCCCCATCTGTCCAGTGGCACGAAAAGGTCTCTAGTTCGGGTGAACGGCACTTGGTGAATTTAGGCTTTCCAGAAGAATCTGCAGAATAAAGGGAGAAGGCAAGGCATGAGTTCTGGAGGGTAAGGGATGCCCCTCACAAAACTCACATTTACAGTGCTAGAGAAAAACCATTTATTCTAGAAATGCTTTCCTAAATGACAGTTTCAGAGTGTGTTGCTGGTCAGTTATTTCTCTGCTGGCCCTTGATTCCAGGGACAGACCGTTTTGTCTTGATCTCAGCCATTATTCCTCGGGACCTGTTTAAGAAACCAGAGCTGGAGGTGAGGATTTGAGAGCACGTTGTTTATCTGGAAGGTGACCCCAGGACCTAGAAATGAGGGATGGGGATTGAAGAAGGGAAGGGCGAACAGTTAATAACACGTGTGCTATTCAGCTGGTCATCACAGTGGCCCACTGGGGCCCAGCCCTACAGAAGCCCCTCGGAGGTCCTGGCTAGAGTGCGCCTTATCTTCCAACTCCCATCACCCACTGGCTGAAGGATGCCCTGGAGCGTTAATGCCCATGAACTTCTAGGCTGCACCTGCACATGGGCTATGTCCTCAGCTGACGTCTGAGATACCGAGGTGAGCATCTGAAGTGCGCCCGGCGAGGTGCACTGGCGGCAACTGCCCACCATGGGTGGCTGTGTTGATGTCAGGTGGGCCATGGGGACGTGGCATGAGGACCACAGAACCCGCGCCAGGGCCTCTTCTCTTTTTATAGATTTTTGAATGAAAAGCCACTTATGTTTGCATTCTTTTAAAAGATCCAGCCAGTAAACTTATTAAGTAGATGTCGATGCTAAACAAGGACGCATGCGTAAGCGTCGATTCTATTTGGGGAAGTGGAGAACGCCTCCTAGATGTTAGGGTCTCAGCCCAAACTCTCGGCATCTGTGAGTTCTGCAGCTCTGGGCTCGCAGACAAGTCCAGGGCAAAACCGATTTGCACGTGTAAATTTCATTGTTTTTACGACTTCCATGGCCACTTTGGAGATGGTTAAGTTTCTCTCTTTTTTAAATTTTTGTTCCTTATCTGATTAGTCTTCAATTCAACTGTAAACTTAATATATTTGTTTCCTGACCTAAAACTCTCACTCTTGGGCAGGAGGGAGGCTCTCAATCTTAAAGTATCCTTATAAATACTTCAAAACTTAATTTAAAAATAGTACACAAACAAACACTTAAAAATTCCCGATTCCAAGTTCCGAGCACGTAGCTGGTGTTCTGAACCAAAACATGGCTCTTTTTCCTCTGTCAACAAACTCCTAAGGAATGTCATGCTATAAGCCTTCTAAACAAATCCATCATTCAGCCATCCACTCAGCAAACACTTATTAAAACATCTATATTGTGCCAGGTCAGTTCCAAGAAGAGAGCAGGAAGCGAAATGGATGCTGTCCTGGTCCTGGTGGAGACTCCGTTCCAGCGAGGGCTGATGGCGGTGGGGCCCCACGCAGGGCCACAGGGATGGCCAGGCTGGGGAAGGGGCCCTCTTCCTCCCACCAACTGCCAGGCTGATGGGGCAAAGAAGCTCAGGCTCGGGAAGTGGGTCCTGCTTTTAGACGCTGACTACCCTGCAGTGTCTGGCCACAGGACACACATCTACAGGAAACCCTGAGCTGCAAACAGGTCCTTTGCCCTGGGAGCACATATTGAGGGTGGCAGAATTTTGTTCTTAATAAAATTCCATGGTCATACTGTTGTAGAAATATGCCTTCTTGTGTATGAACCAAGACATGTACAGCAGCTGGGGGCACGGGTGGAGGCTGCCGTGGTACCAGGGGCAGACAGTCAGCCCTGTGTGGGCGGTCAGCACAGAGGGGACCCCCCCCCGCACCCCACCCCCTGCCCCCCGCACAAGAGCTCTCTGGGCAGGAGCCTGCGTGCACTCACTCTTCTAAATGGATACAGTGGAAAACGTGTGCGTTTCATTAGGCAGCGGCAATTATACACAGAGGAGCTGGAGAAGTTCCTTTTTTAATTAGCTGAAGCACTGGAAATGCTATTTTTTGATTCTTCCAGAAAATCAGTGATTAGTAACACGTATTGAAACCACAACTATTTTAAAGCCTGCAGATTTGAGGAGAAAGAATATGTCCCATTCCAACGGTTCTTTCACACAGGAGATAAGAAGAGAAAATGCCCAGAGGAGACGGGGTTGGGGGCTGGGTGAAAATATAAGGGACTGAGAAGTACAAACTGGCAGTTACAGAACAGTCACGGGGATGTAAAGTACAGCGCGGGGAAGACAGTCAATAATATTGTGATAACTGTGTACGCTGCCAGGTGGGTACTAGCACTGGACATAGTTATATCGGGGGGGGGGAACACTTTGTGAAGTGTATGACTGCCTAACTACGATGCTGTATCCCTGAAACTAATAGAAAAAACACTGCATGTCAACTGTAATTGAAAAATAATATTTAAAAAAGGAAAAAGAGGAAGTGCACTGCATTACTAAATGAGAGATTTGTGTGCTTGTCCCGGCTCTAACCCTCTTTGGCCTCGGTCTTCCCGAAGCCATTGGTCAGGGCAGAAGGGAGAAAAGGAGCAGTTGAAGGTGGGGAAGGTGGGAGGAAAGGCTGATCTTCTCCAGAGCCCCAGTGGAATGTGGGGGCACCAGCAGCCACCTGCCCCCGAAGGGGAGACTACTCACGGACCACCTGCACGTTGGCAGTCCCCCTGAGCACAGGCTTGTGCGGGGGAGGCGCTTGACGGGAAAACCTCGCCCTCCCTCCGACCAGACAGTAACTCAGCGCCAGCAGCTGAGCATTTCCTTTTGAGCTGAGCAGCAGTGGACAGACGATGGGGAAAGGAAGAAAACACCACCACAGTTTCTCACATGATTAAGAATTACAACTTGTAAAGACATCCCGAGAAAAACAGTGGTCTAGCATAAATTGGACTTGAAACATGAGTTTAATCCTAAACAAGGAAAGAAAGGAAAAGACCAGACCAGAGTATGTGGTGATAGGTACATGGGAGTGAGAGGGGACCATTGTAATCAGGGAAAAGCCAGAGGCACGTGGACCGGATGGCTCCTGCCCCTCTTCGGTGGATCCGGGTTCTGCTAAGAAATCTGCACTTGCAGCCGGTCAGTCAGGGGTTGGTCTTGGAGGAGCAGCCACAGCAGCTCAGTCAGCCCAACGTGCATCAAGTGGTTACTGCTGAACATAAGCCAGAGTGAGGAAATGCTCGCTGCCAGTTGAAATGGCTTTCACATGTCCTGAAGATTGCACAAGCGCACGGGTCCCAGCCAAGCGTGGAGAAACTGCTCTGTTCCTTCCACAAACGATAAACAAGAGGCGATGACCTCAGTGGTCCGTCCTCTTGGCCTGCTCAGGCTTTTAGTGAAATCGTTGGGTGACTGAGTAGCCTCAGTGTATCAGGGATCGAAAAACACCTTTGTGGCTAGCCTCTGTAGTTGGGTAAAGCAATAGTACAGAACAGAACATTCACGATCCTGGAAGGTTTGGTGGAAGAAAATGTGAAAACGCAAGTCTGCTATGATGGCAAGAAGTCACTGCACTCCACACAGCCGATTTTCCACGTCCTCTTCTCAGGCAAAGATGAGGTGGAAGAGGAATAACAAGGTAGTAATAGCAGCGAAGGCTTCTTGGGGGTATTATCACGTGCCAGGCACTGGCCTGCACATTATACGTATTAACTCCTTCAACTCGCATGACTACGGAACGAGGTAGGTGCTGCTATTCTCACCACTGAAGAGTGAGAATGCCGAGGAACCAAAGGAAAATAACTTGCCTGAGGCCCCCAGGTTATGAAGAGGCAGAGCGCTGATTCCAATGAGGCCGCTTGCTTCAGAGTCTCATCTAAGCTACTGCGCTTGTAACTTTCAAAGCTGGAAAGTGACCCTCGGGAAGAAATCACAACCCAGTGTCCATATATTTATTTATGTGATCTATCTAAAAATAAAATATCTCAAAACATACTAACCCTTAATGTCTGCCATGAACTCTGATCTGTTCTTAAGTGATGCTGCTCACAATCCGGTAAATGGACTTGCTGATGGGTCACCACTTTCAATTTGAAAAACATTGTATGCTAAGCTCTCCTGCCTCTCAGAAAGTTGAAAAGTATATATGCAATATCCTGCCGCGCGAGGCAAGAATACTTCATGTGCCCAGCACAGATTACGAGATGACTAACAGAACTGCATTTTCCGAGTAACTGAAACTTATTCTTGAAATTTTGTTTTCCAAAATATATTTTAATATTTTTTTAATTATTAAAAAAGTCTGTCAAATGTCGAATGACCTTCTTCATGGCTCTGTCTAGGGACCTGCGGTTATTACGTGGAGTTATGATGTAAGAGTGCGCACGCAGGGCTGCTGCGGGACACTGGCCCCTTTTGCTCCTGCATCGAGTAGCTTCTCTGCTTTGCTGGGGACATTCATGCTCTCACTTCAGCTTCATTTAACGCACAAGTAGTCCCTTCCCTGGAATGACACAATTTATTAAAAATAATAAAAAATAATTCTTCATCTTGAGAGTTGCCTTGACAACTGATGAAAGTGACCGGGAAATAACCTGATGACACTGGGTAGTGACCGCAAGCACAGATTCTGGAACCAGACTCCTGGGTTCCAACCCCGCCTCCATCACTTACAACCTGTGTAATCCTGGCCAACATCCATGACCTTTTCACTTTCCTTACCTGGAAAACGGGGATAATAATAGTCCCTCACAGGGTCATTGGGAAGCGTAGATGAGCTGGCCATGGACGCAAAGCTCTCAGAGAGGTGCCCCGTGCTGGGGGAGCGGTACAGAAGCGTTTGCTGTTATTGCCATCCTCACAGTCAGCTGTGATGGTCCATTAATGATTTATTCACTGCCGTCACTTAGGAAGTGCAAGTGAGGGACAGGGCCGAATCTAGCCTCGTTCCCCATGTGGACAAGGGTAAGCCCGGTGGTGCTCGCCGGACTACCGCAATTGTGCAGAGTGACTTTCTGTGCTGTGCTCCAGAGGGTTGCAGCTATCAGTGCCTGAGTTCCAGATAACTGGAGGGCGCTGCTCTGT